GGGCAGGAGAGAGAACAGAATGCAGCGGGCAAGCTTTGAGTTGCTTGGGGATGCCCTTTTTTATGGTGCTCACCGGGGATCTCGCATTCACCCCCCCTTACCGTATTGATATCTTTTGCGGTGGCTGGCTTTCGTCTCCTCCCTTCTCACGTATATATATATATATACATATCACGAAAGCCAGCCGATAGGCCAGGCTTGAGTGTAGAGGCGCGAGCAAAGTCAGTAAAGGGCCCCCCAAAGCCATCTTCGCTCACTCATTGGCAACACGCAGCAGGCCAACGCCCCTCCCTTCCTTAGGGGTGCCTTTTTTCACCTCCAAGCCGCCCCTGAGCCAAGACGAAAAAGGGCAGCCCCACCAACCTGTGCATTCTACTTCCTATTTCTTCCCCCAATCGGCATGCCTGAGAGCGCCAGGCTGACCCTAAGGGCACCCCCTTTGACGCAAAGGCTGGCTTTCGTCCCCTCTATATATATATATATTATATATATATATATATACATACTGGACATGGAGTCAGAATCCGCAAGGAGGGTGGATCATGATCACATTGTTGCGATTAAGCTTAGCAGCCAGACATTGCGAGACCCACCGAGATGCGAATCGACACTACCGGCCTTTCGGAATCACCGAGTGACGAAACAAGAAGGCAGAGACCTCAGGGCTTCGCGTGATCCCAGGATGGGCGAGCCTGCAGGGGAGCTGATAGCAATGACAATCTTGCGGAGCATTTCACAGTCTTTTTGGCCGCCGAGAGTAGCTCCTTTGATGGCATCTTGTCCAAAGGTCACAATCGAATCATGCATTCATTTTGCAGAATGGTTGTTTGTTCTCAGTGAAATCGCTTGCTGTTCATTGTTTTCTTTCTCAACATGTTGCACATCGTTGTTCGGCCTTCATGGCGCTCCGTCGCAAGGTACCTTGCGAGACTGCCAGCGCTTGTCCGGATCCGAGAGAAAGACTGGATTCCAAGAATCGAGTCCTACAGTTCAGTCGTCTATAGTCTAGGCGCATGAGTTTGGTGTCGTTGTATATCGTCGCCTTCGCAAAGGTGCGCCGCAACTTCATCCTGCAAAGGTGTGGAGTACATGAATGGACGCTGCGAGGTGTGGACAAGATCTGCTGGGATCGGGGCAACGGTGCCTTGGCGTCCTTCAACCGTCATTTGAGAGCCGTTGGCATGGTGAGACTGGGTGGGACTTATATAGCAATCCTATCAAATCTTGTTTTTGCATTGTGTATTGCGCTGTTGAGGCTAGCCTGAAGAATCCTCAGACATGTTCCCAACGTTCTTCTACTGTAGATATTCTCCATGACAATCACTACCAGTCTTTGGCTGCAAGCTTCAAGTTGGTATACAGTGTTTTGATCATTTGCGCTGTTCTCTCGTCCCTTTTAAACATGTCCAAGCAGATGCGTTGTCGTTGCTTTGGGGGATGCGCTTGACTGATGCAAAGATGCAGGAGTTCTCGCGAGCAGCAAGTGGTGTGCAGGAACAGCATTGTTTGCAAGCCACCGGCCTGTGCTCTTGGCAAGGTGTAGCTACCTACAAAAGCGCAGCCTAGTAGCAGCTCCAACCTGTAGACTGACGCTGTAGATGGATGATGCAGACGGTATGCGGATGGTTTGCGGCGCGGCGGAAAGGTTTGCATAGAGCCAATAGGATGGTGACGCAAGCTGGCTCGGCATTTGGCACCCGCAATAAGTTGAATGGTAGTTTGGCCTTGTTTGGTACTTGTACTTGTGCATGCGTGCGCGCGTTGCTTCTTGCTTGCATGGTTTTTGAGCCGCGTGCCTTCTTGATTTATTCCTTGTTTCATGTCAGTATGATTCAGTATGTAATGTTGGGATAGATATGTACGTGTGTGCTTGCGCTTCAAAACAGTTTTGTTTGCTACTTTGTGCATTTTCTGTCCCCATGTTCCAAGGCGCCAGCACTTGGATTGCAATGCCTCCGTCACTGAGCATGCCGGAAGGATCTTTCACGCATTCGTCATGTGAGGGAGAATGCCCTGGACAATGGAAGAAATGAAGATAGATCATGCCTATACATGAATTGCATCAAATCACATGCCGTGGTTCTTTGCAAAAGTTTGCTCGTCTTGGCCACCTCGGTTTTGGCAAGAGTACACGCTGTTGCAACTTGGTCAGTTGTCCAACTGAGGCTACGAACCGTTTGTGAACGTGGAAGGTGGAATTGGCAGAGCATGTCGTGGAGCAGATCCATTTGATGATTGGCCCAGCAATTTGGCTTCGAACTATATATATATATACAAATTGCATTGAATGAGGATTCTTGAGCCTTTTTTGCTCACTGCAAATCTGATCTCTCAATGTGTAATTACACGCGTATCCTGTTCTGAGGCTACTACAACCTGACCTCGACACATTCTGTGGAGGAAAAGCTGCAAAGGTAGTTGGACCACGCGCCATGGATGGCCGTGGCGGTTTCTTCATTTTGTCATTTTTGTGTGGCGTTTTTGCTTCGCGCACACACGCAAGACATGCGTACTGAAATGATCGCCCCAAGCCCTGGAGAAGCCTAAGTGAAAAATGCCTGGGTAAAACAGGGCGTATGTAATGCGGTTTGGCCCTCTTAGTAACATCAAAGTGCCAAAAGGTCAAAGGTTTCAAAGTCCGGGTTCATGACATCAAGGCACAAGTGAGGAGTGCATGTCTGCAGAGCTCAAGACCGATGCAATGGCTGGCACATTGTTCCAGTAATAGTGACAGCAGGGACCAGAAGGAAATTGATTGGTGATCTTCTTCCCGCAGGCACGTGCAATCTGCATACAGATTGCATATAGCGAGCTTGAAGTGTTCTTTGTTGAGCGGTGACAAGAATGCCCACGCTCCCCGCCGTATAGGAAATGGAAGACCAAAAGGCCCCTTTGATTCCCGGCGACCGAGGTAGTGAATCATATTCCTGAGAAAGTTATGTAAGCGGGTCTGAGATCATGGAGGTGTTAAGGAAAGGGAGGAGGCCAAGAGTGTTGGAAGTCGCCAACGACAAGGTGACGACGAGCGCTCCCAGTCTGCAGAGCTCATTAGCACTTCACCACACACTGGAGAGCCTAAAACCAGCCTGCGCAAGGGAGCACCATTGGAGTCAATGTGTTCAGAGCAGGCACGTCGGAGTGATCAGCTCCGATATCCTCCCAACTCATGAGCAGCTTCGTTAGACTCATGAACGGGCTACTGCCCCTGCTTGCAAATATAAATGAAAATCAACGGACTCCCTGTGGTTCCAAGGGCTACACACACACTCCTCCCGCAATGGGAGGCGTTGTCATTTTCTAAGCGCCAGGCGTCCGAGGGTGAGAGTGAAGTCTCAAGAAATGGTGAAAAGTTCACTCTGTTTGAGATAAGCGGTCGGTGGAGCTCGGAGTTGACCAATGGCATCATCATGAAGACGGGTGGGGCGAGGAAGAGGGCCGAAGCTCGGTGCATGTGCTCTGGGATATTCATCAACGTAGCCGATGGGGCGCGCATGTCGAACCTTCACAAAATGCCTAAGGCGAAGGTGTAGGGAGCGTCCCAAACTCGAGAGTCACCTGTTGAAGGCAGAGCGAACCAACCAAAAGGAGGAGCGGGGGGCGCCGAGGCAGGAGTAGATCACATCCTTGAGGTCATCAACTGTGTAGTCCTTTTCGTCCAAAATGGCAGCCGTAAGAGTAACATGGATGTAATTCAGGGGTTGGTGGGCCAGAAGACTAGTATCAAGATCGAAACGTACGTACCATCAGGAGGTCGGGCGACCATAAGGAAGACGGGCATCATAGATGGTCCTGTAGAGTGGATCTGGTAGGCGAAGACCTGGAGAAGAAATCACCGCGACGCCAAAGGAAAGAAGTCTTCGACCTTGAGGATAAAGGTGAGCGAACTGAATCAAACTGGCTGCGGGCGGACAGGGAGAGTGGATGGAAAGGGAAATGTGAGAACGGAAGAGGAATCACCATGTTGTTCAAAAATGCATTGCAGCCGCCCTGGCGGGGGCACTTTTTCACCCGCAGACGCATCCGCCTAACGAAGACGGATTCGCCGCAGCTGTGTATGTTTGATGAACCCCGAAGACACCTAGCGAAGACGGATTCCCCGAAGACGCCCCCAACTCCGAAGACGG